GCCGCAGCCCCTTCTGGAGGCTCTGGGTACTGCGGAGAGAGAGGGGGCGCCGCAGCCCCTTCTGGAGGCTCTGGGTACTGCGGAGAGAGAGGGGGGCCCAGCGGCGACCACGCGCGCCGCAGGGCCTTCTGCAGTCTCTGGACACTGCGGAGAGAGCCGGAGTCAGTGATGGAGTGAGTGAGTGAGTGGTGAGATCTTGGGTTGTGTGTGTGAATGAGCCGCAGCCATTACAATGCGATTCGCAGCCTGTCACAACCATTGCTTTGCAAATCGCAATGGCAGTAACGCACAGAACCGCAGGGGGCCCAGCGGCGACCACGCGCGCCGCAGCCCCTTCTGGAGGCTCTGGGTACTGCGGAGAGCGGCGACCGCGCGCGCCGCAGGTTCCTGGAGGGTGTGGGTACTGCGGAGAGAGAGGGGGGCCAGCGGCAACCACGCGCGCCGCAGGCCCTTCTGCAGTCTCTGGACACTGCGGGGAGAGCCGGAGTCAGTGATGGAGTGAGTGAGTGAGTGGTGAGATCTTATGTTGTGTGTGTGAATGAGCCGCAGCCATTACAATGCGATTCGCAGCCTGTCACAACCATTGCTTTGCAAATCACAATGGCAGTAGCGCACAGAACCGCAGGGGGCCCAGCGGCGACCACGCGCGCCGCAGCCCCTTCTGGAGGCTCTGGGTACTGCGGAGAGAGAGGGGGGCCCAGCGGCGACCACGCGCGCCGCAGGCCCTTCTGGAGGCTCTGGGTACTGCGGAGAGAGAGGGGGCCCCAGCGGCAACCACGCGCGCCGCAGGCCCTTCTGCAGTCTCTGGACACTGCGGAGAGAGCCGGAGTCAGTGATGGAGTGAGTGAGTGAGTGAGTGAGTGAGTGGTGAGATCTTGTGTTGTGTGTGTGAAAGAGTGAGTGAGTGAGTGAGTGAGTGAGTGACTAAGTCTCTGGAGACTGCTGGGAGTGTGAGTGTGCAGTGAGTGAGTGGAGTGAGTGGAGTCAGTGAGTGGAGTGAGTGAGTGAGTGAGTGAGTGAGGGAGCGAGCGAGGGAGTGAGTGAGTGAGTGAGTGAGTGAGTGGAGTGAGTTGAGTGAGTGGAGTGAGTTGAGTGAGTGGAGTGAGTTGAGTGAGTGGAGTGAGTGAGTGAGTGAGTGGAGTGAGTGAGTCAGTGAGTGGAGTGAGTGGAGTGAGTGAGTGAGTGAGTGAGTGAGTGAGTGAGTGAGTGAGTGAGTGAGTGAGTGAGTGAGTGAGTGGTGAGATCTTGTGTTGAGTGAGTGAGTGAGTGATGTGAGTGAGTGAGTGAGTGAGTGAGTGAGTGAGTGAGGTAGGTGAGGTGAGTGAGTGAGTGAGTGAGTGAGTGAGTGAG